CTAAAAGCAAAACACAGAATGATTTTTCCTAAGGGAATACATTCTACTAAGAACAGAATGAGAATGAACAGGTGAGTGAATATGAAAAGGCAGAGGAAATCATTCTTATTGTCCCCTTCCCCCACTCTAGTCAAAATTAATGAGTGGACCACTATTTCCCTTGTTTTCAAATTATCTTAGGAAAACATTTAGAATTACAACAAAAACGGCATTTCTAAGTGACTTTATGTGGAACAGTTGTCAAAGTTCAAAATACCATGAAAGATCTTGAGAGGACAGTGGAGTATTTCACATAAAAAACTGAACGATCAGGTCAGCCAGGCCCAAAATGATGATGAAAACATGAAAGACTAATTTGGGCGACGTCAGTCTTCTTGGCGGAGGTAAATTACATAGATGAGAGATGGACAGATGAACACAAAGGCCAGGCCATAGACTACCCCTCAAGATCTCATCATTCCTCCTCCATGTTTGGGTATAAACCAGCCATGATCACTCCAGCTCCCACAATAATTAGATTAGGAATCAGCACATGGAAATACTAGGATAAATGTCACCAAAGATGTGGCCCATTAATGCCAAGTAGCCTAGGAGCGGGCGCACAGTCATCATCTGTTCTATACGCTCTTTGGGTAACAGTGGTGAAAGAAATGAAACAGAAAGCAGGACTCTAGTATAGAGATAAGTTCATGTCACCAGCATACAGGCAATGGACATGTCCCTCACACTGTTTTCCTGGTTCTTATTATTTTTTAAGACTGTGATAATATAATTATGAACAAAGGAAGCAAGGGCAAGCAATCTAGTCAACTATAGAAACAGAAATCTTATCTCTGGAACAAAAAATTCTGTTGCTGTACCAGCGGTGTCCAACCTGCGCCCTGCCCTGTGCAGCTCAGGAGGGCTAGGAATGCAGCCCAACACAATATCAAAAATTTACTTAAAACATTGAGATATTTTTGTGATTGTATGTCGCAATGTATTTAATGTGTGGCCCAAGACAACTCCTTCCAGTGTGGCCCAGAGACGCCAGAAGTTTGGACACCCGTGGAAACCAATGAAATTCCAAATGAAATCCCAAGCAAACAGCCTTCAAGGTGACAAGGAAAATTAAACACAGAGTGGACGCTGTGCCTAGGATATGAAAATTTGAGAAAAAGGATCTCAATTTGACCTTGAGCAGTGGCAGGAGGAGTCCTATGAGGTAAAAGGGCACCTAAGCTTATTCCACCACTTTTCAAACTACTGCAGTCCATGTCACAGCCACAGAAGATCACAGGGCCATTATTGGGGCAGCCATTCCCTGCACTTGGACGAGTCAAAGTTGCTATCATTGGTATCAGTACAGCATCTATGTCATTAATGTGATAAATAACGCTGAAAATAGACTTTCTAGCACTAAAAACTAGACATAAGCACCTAATAAACTATCATTGCTCCAATTAGAGACAGCAAGGAGAAAAGGACTCAACCACAGCCCCAAAGAGGCAAAAAAAATCTGCAATATTCCTAGGCAGTGGAATCCACAGCATATTTTTTTAATGAAAAGAAACAGAAGTGAACATTTTCTGGTATTTTCTTTTTAGTTTTATTAATTTTTAAATTATGGATTACAAAGCTATATAACATGAAAATGTGTTTTAATATTAAAATAGGACTCAAAATTGAATAATCTACAGGTTCCTTAACTGCAATTCCAAAATCCAAAAAAGCTCTGAGACCCAAAAGAACTTATTTAGCAGTTAAAAACATTACCTGAACTGACATGAAGCTATTTATAATCTCATTTACCCTATTTAGGGTAAACATTCATACATTTTTCCTGCAGAAATAGTAACAGGTTTAAGGACTCTGCTGAAAAGTTATATAGCATTATTAGCTTGCCTATATCTGAAAAATTTCTTAATTCCAAACCTATTAGAGACTCCAAGGGTTTTAGTGGGCTATGACCCTATAATAACTGCTAACATTTACTGAGTTATTAACTATGTGTGAGACACTGTTCTGATCACTGTATATTCAGTAACTCATTTATCCTCCCAACTACCATATGGGAGGTATAATTATCCCCATTTTACCAAGAAGGAGCAGAGGCACACAGTGAATAAATTACCTAAAGTCACACAGCTAGAGTATAACTAGACTAGAATGAATAAAATATTTAAAACATTACACATAAGTTGAAGAAAACATTAACCAAATAGAGAACAGCCCTGGCTGGGGTGGCTCAGTGGATGGAGCACAGAACTGCAAATCAAAGGTCCCAGTTTGATTCCCTCAGGACGCGTGCCGGGATTGCAGGCCAGGCCCCTGGTTGAGGCAACCAATCAGGACAGATTTGTGTTTCTTTGGCTCTGGAGTCAAAGTCCTGACTTTACCACTTTGGGAAAGTTACCTCATCTCTCTACAGCTCAGTTTTCTCTTCTGAAAAATGGGGATATTACCTACTTTATGGTTAATGGGGGCTTAAATATGTTAATGCACAGCTTTTATTATCAACAATGTTGCAATTGGCATGCCCACAAGCTACCAATTTAATAGTATCTTTATTACATCAAGGTAAATAGGAATTTCTAAATCAGAAGGCTTTTGAGTCTGTCAAATTACAAATGGGTTTAAAGACCTCATCAAATGGCTCTCACTTAACACTTCTCTTTATGCAAGAAAATAAAAACTTTGATCCAGTTAACCTAACCAGCTTATTTCACTCAATTAACCTTTGCCCTTCTACTTTTGTACCTGTGAACTAATATTTCATAAATTCTTAGTTTGTAGGGAAATTAATTAAAGACACCAGGCCCAATCTTCCCTCAGCACATCAATTCTTTTACCCTGAAATTCCTAATTATAACACTGTCAGTGATAGTCGACAACCTACCACCCAAAACAATATATACTGACTGTTTTTTTGTTTTTTGTTTTATTTTATTTTTAGAGAAAGGGGAAGGAAGGAGAAAGGGAGAAATAGATTAACATAGGAGGGAAACATCGATGGGCTGCCTCTCAGCACACCAACACGTGCCCTGATCAGGAACTGAACCAGCAACTCACCTTGGGGGACGATGCCCAACCCGAGCCACACAAGTAAAGCTTCGTATACTGACTCGAAAAGTATTTTTTGAAAGAATGTTGAAATCTGCCTTCTTCTAGCTTCTACACATTGATCCTAGTTTTCTGGTCAGATCAAATCTTCTTTCTGTGTGACAGATCTCCGAGTATTTATAGACAATAATCATTTCTTGGATGAGCTTCTCTTCCTTGGGGCCAAACATGTTTTTTCAACCTTTCCTCTTTTTCATTTCCCCCATGATCAATGTCCTCTGGGTTTTTGGTTTTTTTTTTTTAACTTGAGTGTCTACCACCTGGGGAACTTGAAAAAACCACAGTGGCCCACATCCTTTCCTACTGAAGTTTGGACCTCTAGATTTTTTAAATTAGCTTGCCAGGTGATTCTGATAGCAAGTTTTAGCACTGACACAAGGTTCCACTTATGATAGTATGCTACCTAAAAATGTGACATAATGTCCCAGGTATAATACAACCAGTACAAAGTGGGGCTAACACCATGTTCTTTATATATGATATCCTATCAACTTGGAGAGGGCATTTACTTTCTTAAAAAATATATTATTTAACTGTCAATTTAATATTGAATACTTAAGATATTAAATATTATTTAACTGTCGATTCTAGTCAGTTAAAATAATTGAGTCTTTTCCACATTCTGTATTTGTGCACTACCATCTTGGGCCCTAACTGCTAACCTTTACAATTACTCCCATTAAAAAAGAAAGAGAAGTAGGACTAAGAGTTTTACATTTCTATTTCTAAGTGTATCAAAAGGTCCTGCATATGGATTTACCTTAACTGGAAAAGTCACTTCACGCTAAGCCTGTACACTTACATCATGGACATACTTAGTCCAAATAAAGGTATACTAACCCACCAAAGACTGAACTGACAGCTGATTACACCAAAGCATCTTCTCTGTCCAGAGCACCGCTGTCAATTCTTTGAGGATACACAAGCCCTAATACTAACAAATTTAACAGATTTACCTTCTAGAGAGCATGATGGAACAAACAAACATCTTCAGACTTTTACTAATTTTAGCTGTAGATACATTAGTTTTATAGAAACATACAAATACAAGCTGGAAAGCTGTAGAGCCAAAGAAATGAAACTTATTGTTGCCCTCAACAATAAGAGTTGCCCTCAACTCTTAACTTTTGTTTGGCATGTTTTTTAATGTTTGCAGTGAGAAGCAATGGAATCCATCAGTGAGTTCATCCTTGCTTAGGCTACTTGCAAAGGGACACAGCACCACCAAAAATGCACACTGAAAATGAAGTGATTCAAAATTTCATGGAATAATTTCTGAATTCCTTATGACTTGTTTGCTGTACCTGTTAATATTTCTAACTCTTGAGATACTCAAGGGCGTACAACTCAGAGATGAGGAGGGTAGGGGCAAACCAAGATCCAATCTGATATTTTCATTTGAACAGCAAACATCAAAAATATACCTGGCACTTTCTAACAATTACATGAAGAATGACCAGATGCTTCCTGTTGATGGAACATTGGAGAACTACAGACTGACAGAATCAGACTAGAGTTCACAGATACAACTGGAAATGAATTTAGCTTCATTTCAAAATCACTAAATCAAAGTACAGCCTTAAGTTTTCACGTATTTACAGTGTAATTGCCCCCAGTATAGAAAACCCAGATTGATACAGAGAACTCAAACTCCGTAACAGAACTCTTAAGTTAACAGACTTAACTTGAAGGGTAAATATATGCATTAGAAAAGTACTGTTTCACCAAAGGTTTCACTGCAGGATTCCTTTTAAAACTAGAGCTCCAACAGTGCTTTGAAGTGTCCTATCTTCAAAAATTACATTTACATACAAGGTTTCACAAACACATCTAATACAGAACTCATGTTCTATTTGTATACCTCACTAGAAATAAGTTGTGGAATTAAAATTAATTACTTAAAATCTCTTTAGATGTCCCTGAGTCTCCAGGATCATATGTAGATTATGCAATCTTTATTCATGTTGTTGTTGTTCACGCATCTAAATCCAAAACTGAAAACAGATAAAGCATAAGAATAAAGTATAGAAATCAGCCTTCTTATCCATATTTTTAAAATGTGTCTGGTGTAATAACCTGATTTGACTTTTGGGGGTGCGGGGAAGAACAGAAATGATATATTTCTCAGTTAAAAAAAAAAAAGGCATGCGTATACAGTGGGTTGTTCCCGAGGTTACATGAGACCACAACAAACTGAATGCAGAAAGATTTAAGAATCTAGCTATCTCCCAACCAGACGTTTAAAAAGACTTGTAGAAATGCTAAAAGAATGTCACTTTGCTCAATGTGTCATTTGTGTTAACACATAATGAGTTTATTTCGGTTAAATAAAGAGGAAAACTAAGAAAAATAGATAAAGCTGTCTTTAGTTTCCTTAAATTCAAAGACTGAGCCAGAAAGTAGAAGTGCCAAGGCTGATGGTTATGTCACCGAGAAATTTAAATCAAGTCGGGTGGGTCTGTATGTGAGATAAACTATCTGCAAAAAGAATTTTTGACCAGTAACTTCTACATAATGAATTCTTGAGATGGAAAATTACAAGGATCCTTTCCTAACTACATTAAATCATTTTCCAGATAAAAACTGTACTTCAGTAGTAACTTGCCTGAATCCAGACAGCAACTCAGAATCCAGAAAGAGCACTTAAATATTTCCACATTACCAAGCCCCCTTCAGAAGCACTGTGGTCTGTGCCTCTCCTGTGAACAGATGTCTGCTGCCACAGTCCAATCAGGTTATGTGTACTGCAAACAAGCTTAAAGTGGGAAAACACACAGAGCGGGCCTACATCATTCCTTTGGTTTCAGTTTTCACGTTGCACCCCTGAGGCTACCCATGTGGAGGCTGTCGATTCAACGCCGATAGGAAAGCTTCAACAAAACACACTTAGAGACACACTAACAGTGTCCAGAAATGAACTGGCAAAATCCTCAACTTCTTTCCCGAAGCCAAGCACCAGCAAATCCCGGTGGCCAAGTCCCAAAAGCAGGTCTCAGCATCCAGAGTGGCAGGCTTCGTCCCCACAGGACTCCAGTCCCCAAGGCCAAGACAGTCGCTGCCGAAACCCCGTCGGGAACAGGACCGGTTCTCCGGTTAACCCTGTCTGGACCCTCCGCTCCCGCCGCGGTCCGGACGCCTCGGGGCTCCGTGGCACAGCGCACCAGGTGCCAGTCGCCCCCGCCGCCCTTTTCCCGCTCCAGCGAGCCCGGCGGAGCCGTGTGCCGCCCAGACAAAGAGATCCGAGGCTCCCGAGGCAGCGGGAGGCGAGGCCAGGCCAGGCCGCGCTTGCCACTCTTCCCCGCCCGCCTCCCGACGCCCGCAAAGGCCCCACCGCCCGGGCCCGACACCATCCCGGCCCCGGAGCCACCGTTCCGGACAGGTTCGGTAAGTAGCGGCTGGGAGGCCGCGGCGCGCCGGGGCCGAGGAGGGGGCGGCTGCTGCCACCATGTCTGCCCGCCCCTCCCAGAAGCGGGGTGCTCAGTGGACAATGCGCGGCGGCGGCGCGGGCGGAGAGGGCGCCTAGGCCGACCCCGCCGACCCCGCCGACCCCCGCGGAATAAGCGGGGCCAGGAGCCCCGGAAACCCGGCGCCTTAATGCAATAAACAGGAAATCGCGGGGATGATCTGGGTTCCGGGGGAAGTGGAATTATTTTTTACCAGCGAAGAGATCAACTTCCACATCCGGTGGTAACAGGGCCCTACACAGACCCGCACTGACCTGGAAAAGCTTCGGGAGCGGCGACGGGGGAGCAGCAGGAGGTGGTGAGGGGACCTGAGGCGCTTCGTACCCGGCCGGGCTGACGCGGCCCCGCTACACACAAAGCGCTTCAGCTGCACAGGGCGCTATTTTCTGAAAATGCCGCGTCTGGTCGGCGCCCAAAATCCCCACCGAAAAGTCCCCCGTGCTGCGCGCGGAGGGACACATGGTATGTGAGTGAGTCAAAGCTCCCAGCATCCCTCCCGGACCCGGCCCTCGGCAACCCTGCGTCTGAGCCTTCCGCCCCGGGCCTAGTTAGCAGATCCCACTCCCACCCACTGCCCGACCCCATCCGGTGGGGAGAAAGGGACGAGAGGATCTGATTTTTGTCTTTAGCGGAGGGGAAGGAAATAGGCCATTTCTATATCTTTAGCTACACAAAGAAAGCGGCGGAATGATCCGCTCTCGGCGACCGCAAGTCCCGGCTTGCCTGGCGCCTGCGCGGCACAGGGGTGGGAACTGCGGCCGGCCATGTGCGCTGCATAGCAGTCCGGCCGGCCTCCGTCCTTTCCCGCCTCTTCCTTAGGCGGCAAGGAGTTGGGGAAACTAAAATTTTCTTGCTGACCTTCCTGTGTTTCCGGCATGAACGCTGAGAAACGGGGGATCCGGGGTCCGAGGTTAAGCTGAGGCACCTAGCAAAGTCCTAAGAGATGGAAGGCGCAGCGAGGATATAACTTAAAAGTCTCCCTAGATTGAACTAGGCAAGCTGGGGCAGGAGTCGCTGTTGAACTACATGGCGAGGAAGGAAGGATGGGCATTAATCACGACTTAACATTCCTGCGGCTTTTAAAAATTCTCATGCTGTCTAATATTTCGTAAACCTTACTAACCGCTCTCTCTATTCCGTTGCATTAACTGACACCTGTGGTAGAGATGTACTTTTTTAGTGCCTGGAATGTCAAGACTTTTTGTTGTGTTGAATTTAATTTACGTGGGATGATTTCCTAACAAACCCAACACACTGATACGTTTTTAATAGACGAGGCTGGGAATGACTTTCCCACACGCCTTCAACTTTTGGCATCCTATATCTAGGAATTGAGACTATCTGAGACAAATCCGGGGGCGGGGGAGGCTGACAGGTTTAATTAAATCCACATTGCCCACTGATCTTTGTGGCCTCAAATAAGTAATCTTTTTTTTTTTTTTCCTCACTTACCGTTTTGTAGTACTGGTGTAATTTCTTAAAGCATTGTGCCCAACATATAAGTACAGTGAATGACATATGCGCCATACTCTATTGTGATCTAATATTTGCATTGCTACGGTTGATAAAAATTTGTTATATTTTTGGTTAGCTGCTCTTTAAAATTGTTTATTTGAATTTATTCAGCTAATGATTTATTTAGAATCCTTCCTCTCATTAATCTTATGCTACAGATTGTAGACAAATCGGTATCATCAGTATAATGAGGGAAGCTGTTGGATACTGTGAAATTTTACACAAGAAGAATCTCTTACCTTGGGAGGAAGGAATGGAATGGAACTGGAGAAGCAATTAACTTTAATTAAGGGAATTGGGGAAGAGCCTTCCAGGCAGAGGAAACAATAAGTGCAAAGGTTAAGAGGCAAACTCTGGAGAGATGGTTGGGTGATGAAAATAGTGCTTTTTCAGGAATGCCCGAGATACTCCTGAAGTGGTCTAATGAAGGCCAGGAAAGCCATGTGCAGGAATTAGCTTTTGAGAGCTAAGAAGCATTTGAAAGATTTTAAATGGAAGCATCATAAGATTGAATTTGCATTTTAGAAAAATAACTTGTGCAAAAGTCAGAGGCATGGAGAACAGTAGGAAGAAAACAATCGGTGAGAGAGGAATGAGTTGTACTGAGATAGTGGCAAGTAGGCCTGAAGAATACAACCAAAGTGATTGAGGGATTGGTCATTTGGTCAGCTGGGTAATGGAATGGCTGAGAGGGAGATGTCAAAGATGACTCCCAAGTTTGTTGGGAGAGCAGCAGGGAGGATGGTAATGTCTTCACTGAGATTAGAAACAAGAGGAGAGAAATGCATATTAGGGAAGGAAGTTTCATTGTGACCTCGTAGAAATTGAAGTGATTGCGAACCAACCAAGTAGATATGTCTAGTAGGTAATTAGATGTTTATTCATTTAAGTTGTTTCAAGAGCACCCCTCTGTGACTGGCACTGCTGTACACACTGGAACAGATTAAACAGCAACAAGACCAACACAGGTTCCTGCTACTGCTTCTAGTGGAGGGAACAGACTATAAATAAGTTTTATCAAAAAAGGAGGAAAGATAATATCTCATAATCTGTTCCATGAAGAAAATTGAAGAGTATTTGGATAAAGCCTTGCTCTGGGGGAGTGAGTAGGCAAAATTTTGGTTGGTCAGAGATGGCCTCACTGAGAAAGGTAACTGCTAAGATCCGAAAGAGGGAGTAAGTTAAGAGCAGTATTTGAGACCAAAGGGAGTAGCAGGGCAAAATCCTAAAGTGAGAGTTTGTTGTGTTTAGCAAGGAAACCAGTGTGGCTGAAGCCTAGAGAGCAAAGAAAGGAAAGGTGGATAAAATCTGCATCCTTGCTAAATAAGTTTAAGTGCTCTAGAAACCATTGAAGGGTTTTGAGGAATAGAAAGTAACATGGAGAGTAGCACTAAAGATAAAGTGGATGGGTTGGAGATACATTTTATTAATCAAACACAAGTGAGGGAAAGGGGAGGATCAAGACTGTGTCCAAGGTTTGGGGCATGGTTGTCTAATACAAACATAACACAAGCCACATATATAATTTTATAGTAGCCACATTAAAAACATAAAAAGGAACAGTTGAAATTAGTTCTAATGACTTTTATTTATCCCAATTTATCCAAAATAGTATAATGTGATCAGTATTAAAAAGTACTAAGTATTTTTTAATGTTTCATACTTTTTCTTAGTACTAAGTGTTTGAAATCTGTTATGTATCTTACCTGACAACATATCTCAATACTTGATTTCCTAAGATTTACAGTAAAAAGTAGATTCACATCCCCAGATCATTCCAAGCATGCTTAAAAGTTTTGCAGTAATTGAATGATCAGACTTTTGATATAATTTTAAAATAATGATAGGATTACAGTTTCCTAAATTAGCTACATTTCAAGTGCTCAATAGTCACGTGTGGCTAGTTGCTCCTGTAGTGGACTGTGGAATCTAGTGGAATAGAGAGCAGTAAAAAATCAGACTGGAAGAGTGCTGTGGAACCTGCCTGGAAGCCTTGGGTGCCATGTTAAATGATTGGAATTTTACCCTAAAGGCAAAGGGAACAATGGATAGTTCTTAAACTGGGGAGTGATGGTGTTATGCTCGAGGCTAGAAAGAGTCGATGGCCAGCTGATGACTCGACCAAGAGCAACCCTTCAGTCGAGTCCCCACATTTTAGGCTCTGACTGTAGCCCTTTAGATCCAGAAGTTTGATTTTTATCGGTGCTCTACAACAGTCCCACCGAAAGTGTGGTCAGCAGGTTTATGCCAGTCTGCAGGCCCTTTGTTGTTGGCCCATGACAAGGCATTTAGAGAAGTTGAGAGTAGGAATTTAGAAACTTTTATAGCAAGTTTACACATTCTTTTGTCCATGGATCTAATAAAAATTTTGGTGTTGTGTGTATCTTTGGGTTTTTTTTTATTTCCCTTTTCTAGCAATTTATTTTTATATTCCAAAATTTGGGGAATATAATGATCTTTCACCCTACGTGGTTGTTTTTGTCTTTACCTAAGAACTTTTTTTTTCATTGCTTTCAGAGAGAGAAAGGGAGAAAGAGAAACACCAGTATGAAAGAGAAGAAACAATGGCTTGCCTCCCATACACACCCAGGCTGGGGATCTCCCACACCCTCAATGGGGACTGAACCTGCAACCTAGGTATGTGCCCTGACCAGAAATCAGACCCCGAAACCTTTCAGCTATGAGCCCATGCTCCAACCAGCAGAGCCATACCAGCCAGGGCCACCCCAAATGATTTTTGAATCACTGCTCTAGAGGCACTCAAGACAAAGGGAGTCAGAAGGACCACATTTCCAGAACAATTATCTAAATCCAGATGCCCTCTTTTACTTTATAATGAGAACTGTAATGGCTGGGAGAGGAATGGACATCTGCTTAGTTTCTCCTTCCATATAGAAACAGAAAGCTACATGAAAATAACCAAATATATGATAACTACCATTTATTGAAAGCTTCCCACATGCTAGCCACTGTGCAAAGCCTGTTACACATATTGTCTCATTTAATCCTTACAGCAACTCTGTAAAATAAGTATTAATAGCCCCATTTTTCCAACAAGGAAACAGATTAAAGTAGGTAATTGACTTGCCTAAAGTCTCGAACATGGTAAACGTTAGATTTCTATATAGTTCTCATTTCAGCTCTATTGAACCTATTCACTATTTTGCCATTGTATTCCCAGTATGTATCAAATTTCCTGGCAAAACAATTATACATTGTTTTAGAATACATGAAATCGACTACAAGCATCTTTTCTTTTATTGCACTTCATGGACATTGCGTGTTTTACAAATTGAAGGCAAGACCCTCCACCAGCAAAAAGATTACAACTGGCTTTATTTCGGTGGTCTAGACCCAAACCCACAAAATTTATAAGGTATGCCTATACATTTCTCCCAGAGGATTCCTTGGTGAATTTGGCACCAGAGTGAGGGGAGTTCTACCTGGGTCAGGCAAATGCATTCATTTCTACAATAGAAATTGATCTGCTTTGCTTTTATCTAGAATTTGTAGAACCACAAATCAATTTAAAAAAGAAAAAATATAAAGGGGGCAAGAGACTTGAAGAGACCTCACAAAAGAAGGGATCAAGTGGCCAATAAACATGTAAAGGTGCTCAAATTTTTTAATCATTAGAGAAATACAAATTAAAACCACAACAAGATACTGCTGCATGCTCACAAAAATGGCTAAAATGGAAAACACAGAAAATGCCAAGTGCTGGCCAAGAGTTGAAATAAGTTGAAAGTACATTACTGGTGGGAATAAATATTGGTGTAGCCACTTTGGAAAAATCAAAGTTCAAGAAACAGGCAAAACCAAACTAGATGTAAGAATATATAGGTAGTAAAAACAAAAAGAAAAGATAGGATATGGTTAGCATCGGGGTGAGAGAGTAATGCTTGGCAGGTGTGAGGGGTTTTGGGGGTGGGCCAATGTTCTATTTT